CCTTTCACTTACCTACCAAATGTGTCAGTACTTGAATATCTTCAGTGCTCGAACCACGATTAGAAAGAGAAAATATTACAATTTTTATAAATGGATTATATACATTATTGTTAGTTTGTATAACTTTCTACATATTTCATCAATCACAATAGTTTATTACCAACCATTATCGGTCGTATAATATATCTCTGATTGTATTTAAAAATTTTCAGCTTGATGATGACCCACCTGTTTGGGTTGAAAGGTCGTCACTAGTAAAAACTTAATAATGACTGCGTCCTGAATATTTATCACCCACGATATGTAGAACAATCAACTAACATAAAAAGTCGACTTCAATAAATTTCATAGTTTTTAAAATTTTATCAAGTAATCAAAGAGAATTTCGTTTGTAGTAGTTTGGAGACCCCTCATCAAGACATCAATAAAACACTTTTAATTCGTGGAAACCATTAAGAAAAGTTTGTTTATTTATTTTTTTTAATGTAAGTGGAACAAATATGACAATTTTTTATGAAATTTGAATGAGCAGGTATGAAACAACCCTCACTAGGAGATAATGTCCTCATTTCCATAATCTAGGTTCCTGAGCAAACACCACATCCCTAGACGCCGTAAACAATACTCCAACACCAAACATTCCGGTAATCCAAGCGGACATTTTTATAACTGTTATCTGTGTCATGAAACCGGGGTTATAAAGATAACAAGGCAATCCAACTCTGTAATTGCCCAATGACTTAAAGGAATTCTGTGAAGCAACGGTCATATTTTGGTTAGCTAACGCTTGTCTCCTCCTTGAGTGACAAGTCGTCTCGACATTTAATTTCTGAATATTCTATAAAAATAATAAAGAAAAAATGTTTTTAGGAATTTTGAAATGAGTATTGTGATTTACTACTTTGCTGAAGTAAAAAATAGAAATAAAATAAAAGAACCTGTACCACAGCAATCCGCAGAGGTTCTTGAATTCAGCACTTTGTAAGGAAGTTCTATTTCTTAGTGAACGAATCTAGTCAGATTTTTTCCATTCTATTAATTATTTAATTAATTGAGGCCACTTTATATAGCCCAATATTTTCCATGGCTTATCTAAAAGAATATCCCGCTAATTTTTTATGAGGTATGATAAACGTAATTATTTATTAATAACTTAAATTAATACTATTTTTATAAGGTGTTATCGAGTATAAAAAGTTATAAACAGCGCAATACTATAAGGGGACAGACACATGAACCTCAAGAACAGCTACGAGAATATTCGGATCGATCAAATAAGATTAACAGGACTCTGGGCAAGGCTATGCCATGGTCAATATTTTGTCTACGAAGTGGAAGAAAAATCCTTATCAAAATAATAAACAAAGCTGGAATCCCAAGAAGAAAAACGAAAGGACGGCCGAAACTTCGGAGGAAGAACCTATTCAATAAAGATGCACAATATATAATATATAACAAGGCACTGAATCTGACAGGCGATCTCTCTTGATCAATAATGAGAAAAATTCATTGAGCAACACCATTCCCTAGTATTATATCGTGGGAATGAACAATTTGTAATGAAAGATTGAAAAATAATAATACTTCTAGGACATGAACTTACAAAATGTTGGTGAATACTGCAGAAAATATGTTTGTTTTTATATGAATGATCCGATCTCTTGTAACCACAAAACAGGCTTACAACTGCCAAAACATTTACAAGTGGGTTAGGGCAGATGTAGCTTATCGTGAGTCACCGATAGAGTAAACCAACACTGATATCGGTTTTCTAGAAGTTTGATTCATAATTTAAATAAATTTAATTCCTAGTAGAGTGGTATAAAAAAAAATCAACTACATACACGCGTACGGGTCGTTACTCCGTGGTACACACCCCTATATATCAAATTATTAACATCCACAGAAAACTTTGTGAATAATTGGGAAAACTTCTCGGAATTGGTGAGTTTTCAATCTGAATATCGGTGAACTTTGTTAATTTAATTACTTACTAAGACTCATGAACACTCAATTGCTTTCTTAAGTCGTAAGATAATTAGATAATAAATTCTAGAAAAAAAGGTGGCCTACAAAAATATTAGGCCGTTTGCCGTGACCTTCATATCCAACAAAATGTCATATAAGCCGAACTGCCCAATATTTTTGTAGGCCTTTTATTTCCGATTTTTGACCAAATTATCTTATGGAAGGGAAATTGGTATTTATGAGTTTTTAGTACCTCATCATTAATTAGTATAATGAGAAAACGCATCATTTCTGAGAATTTAAGTCATTCCCGAAGTTTTAGTCGGATGTTCATAATTTGATGAAAAGAAGTCTATATGACAGACTAAGTCTTTAAAGGGGCATCCTAAAAATCGACGTTTTCATTAGATCTTATTCCTCATTTATATGTATATTGTTAATTTTATTAAAATATATTAAAAACATGAAAGACAGGAGGTAAGCATGGGTGTTAAAATGATTTGAAATTTTACCTTGAAATAAAAATTCATCAAGATGTCCACACAACCATAAGTGTTATAGTTGTTGATGACAGATTACAAAACTATAGTCTGTTAATTGTAGCTGTATCTCGAATTGTTTATTATATTATGGTATCATTACTAAATATTTGATTCTTAAAGTGAAAATAAACTAATATCACACAACTTGATTATTAATTTTAATCGAGGAAGGCGGGTCGGATATACCATAACTCATAACATCTCAAATTTTAACTTCAGCATACTTTTTTTATTAATATCCCCCTCTCATCCCTTTTAGACTATACGGAGTTTTCCCGAGCCAGGGGAGAGAGTGCAGAGGATTAATGGCAGAGTTAAAAAGTCCTCCGGGCACCGGAACGCGAATTCGTAATCAATTGACCATATAGAATTAGTTAATCAACAAATAACAGGAAATGTAAATGTACAGAACATTTACTAAATAAGGATAAGTTTAAACCACTGATACCAACAACAATAACAAAAAAACCTTGGAGAATCGAAGATTCGATAAGTATAGTGACAACAATCACGGTCAACTCTATCAAAATCCACAAGTTAAGCCGAAGTACAATCCTTCAATCTATTTCTCGATTTATCTCTCGGATGTTTATTTGTGGGTTTAGTACAAATTAACTAATAACAGTTTCGTTTACTATAAAATCCAAAAACATTTCCATTTCAAATTTCACGGAATATCACTTCAATTATAAAATTGCTCAATAAATGTATTTGTATTATAACGTGGGTAGAGGTAATGCAAATATATAATAAAATAGATAGTGAGAATTCATTCAGAATAATAAATTATTTTCTTAAGTAGCAATTTTTTTTCTTCTAGTTTGTCAATACTCAAGTTTAATTCACTTTTCTTTTTTGTTAATATTTAATTTATTTTGATTATATTTATTTTTAAAGTTTAGCTAAAACAAGAAGTTTTTCATATATTAATTTATTTACTTGCTAACGTTTCGGAGCTGTATCACCATCATCAGAGCCTCCTCAATATCACAATGAAGTATATCAAAACTAATATGATATTTTATATCTTTTTCCATGACACAACAATAAAAAAAATATTTTAATTTGTAAAAGCAAGGTCTGTAGACATGTTTTTGTTCTGAGCTAAGTTTATTTTATCTGCATTAATCAATTTTATGAAAAATTAAGTTTATAATTGTAAAATCAATTCCAACTTCTGCAGACTAAGACCAAGACCAAGCCCACCTAACTGTTGCAAGACCAAGACCAAGATTGAGTTTGCAAGACCAAGACTCGTCTCGGTCTCGCATTTGGGCAACACTATATATACCTGAAACGTGTAAGCAAGTAAATCATTAGAAGATTTTATTTTCGCTAAACCAAATAAGAAAAATTGCTGCTTGACTTCCTACAAAATTTTAAAAGCATTCCAATTAAAAAAGATTAGAGGAGAGATTGTTATAATGTTATTTTGAAATAATAAATATATTTAAATACTATATTAGTACTTCAAACTGGAATATGTACCCGAAACGTGAAACGTGTAACAAGTAAATTAAGTAAAATATTGAAACATCTTATTTTTGCTAAACCATCCAAGAATTTTTTTTTACAAAATAAAAAACTAATAAAACAAATTAGAGAAAAGATTCTTATAGTGTTATTTTTAAATAATAAATATATTTTAGATTTATTATAATAATTATATAATGATTACAGCTGAAATATAAAAAAAAAAATTAGAAAACGCAGACCAGCTAACTTGAAGAAAATAATATGAGTTAATTTTCAAAAAATAAATCATTGAAAAAGTACAGAAAAAAATGTATATGCATTAATTTTTTATTCTAATTTGACACATTTCGACTTATCAGTTTTTAAATTAAAAAAAAAATCAGGATATTGCCTTATTATGACTAAGGAAAGGAGATTAACCAGTTGTACCCTATACTCTTTTTTATGGATCTAATTTATTTTTCATGAGTTAGAAAGTACATTCCTCAAGCATCTACCCAGTTTTACCTGTCCTCCGATATAATAATTGCGCCTATATTTCGTATTTTTTCCTTTTTCTTTTTTCTTTATATACAACTTATTACTCTTGGCATACTAAAAGATTTCTTACTACTTCAGGCCGTTCAGACACCATCTTTTAGCAATGACCCACGCCCTGGCACAACTCCGTCCCTATTGTGCTTCACTAATCGTGGGGATGTGCTCATCGCACCTGCCGGAGTTAGCTCTTCTTGCTTTCTCTATTAGCCACAATCTCCGGGCGAGTGAAAGGGTTTTATCTTCTAATGACGCTAGGCAAAACTGGCAAAAAATGACATCGGGTAGTTATTAAGAAATTTCCCTCTCTAAAAGCATTCTCAAAAATACGGTACAAGATAATTTTTTCTGTCTGACTTATTTTTTAATTTTGCAATACAAGTATATACAAACCAAAACAACAGAATAAAAGTAATAATAATAAAAACTTGGCCCGACTATAAATAAAGGAAATGTGAAGGTCTCGTCGATATTCTTATGAAGCGTTATGGTAAAGCCCTATTTGTTTACCTGAACTCGGCGAGGTCACTTATAAATCCGAGTTCAATATACAAAATCAAATGTGTGGAGAGCGGTGATGGAGGAAGCGGTGTTTGGACAATGTATGCATTGAGGAAATGGCAGCCATTGTTTGGCAGGAAATCTTTTATACCCCGCCGGCAGTTGTTTGCGGCTCCGACTCCCATAACAAACGCTCGAGCCAATATTCACGGAACCTTTAACAGATCCGACAGAGTGCAATCTGCTTACATTTCCCGGAATATAGTCAAAACAATGGCCGACCAGATATAAACTTTAAAATGAGGTCAAAGGAAAATCACAGAAATATGGGTTAGCTGGCCTTTTATCCATCCAGATTAGATTAGATTATAAGTTTAAATTAATATTATTAATTATCTAAATTCAATTAAATTGTGCCACTATACATAACATGCATTCTCGATGGGCACCAGTGCTGTAACTACGTCATTTGGGACAGAGGGCAGGGAAAATATTTCTCCAAGTAATTGTGGCTCGGGCGAGTTTATTTGACCAAAAACTATTTATTTCAAGTGGAAAAAGTGATACTTTGTCACAATATTAATGCTTATTGTTTTTAATGTTCAGTTGAATACATTCCCAACTGAATATAAATATAAGATTATGATAAGACGTTATAGCTATTAGTGCAGTAGTAGTGTCAGAATTTAATTTTGATTTTTTTTTAACAGTAATTACTCTGAAATAAAAAAAAAAGAAACTATTTAAAATGATTTTGAAGTGGAGCTGTAAGCCCAGTTCTAAAAATAAAAAAATTAATTAGTGGGACAATAATACCGTTTCTAGATGTTTTTAAATTTTTCTTGATATGTGCTTATATTTAGTAGCTACACATGCATTATAATTCAAAAAGAGTACATATTGCGATTGTTTAAGTATTTAGTTTTGATCACCCACAAAAACAAATATGGAACTATATATATATTAGATGCGGCTTTGGTCGATAGAGCAATCTATAGCCCTACGAGTGTAAATATATTTAAATTTTGTAGATATATAGTTTTATATTCTATCTTTAGAATCGTTAATAAATTGTTACTATGTATTAATCGTATTAATACGTTTGTTTCATATTGTTATAAGTTGCATCGGTGAACAGTATTATTTTGAAATTTAAAAATCAAGAGATTTGTCATACTCAAATTATTAAGTATGGTGGTAGATGTAAAATTTTATAGTGTTTTTTTTTTTGCAAGCAAAACTGCGAGTAAGTTTCTAGTTCTAGTTTCACACTAAAATTGCTTTTATGTAAAGATAAAAAATGCACAGAATTTGAACTTAATATAAGCTATAGAACAGAAAATATTTTCTATACAAAATAAATTATTGTTTTTATGATTATTTTATATAAAACTCATATAAATACTTACATGGAGCAAAACAGCATTATATAGCAAAACAGACTAAGAAAATAAAATCAGCCAGGTACCTGAAATAAAATAAATTAATTTAATAAATATGAAATTAACGCAATATAATTTCAATTAAGATAAATAAAACACAAAACTATATTAATTAACTATTCCGACAAAGTCGATTATGACCGAATCCAATTTCAGATAATTATTTTATCAAATCAAGAATATTTCAAAAAACTAAAATACATTTAAAGAATTAAAGTAACAAATTCATTGCAAATAAAATACAAATCAGGCATAAACAAATACGTATGTTCTTTAGAACAATAATTAAATGCTAAGTAACTAAATTTAAATTAATGCGGTCTTAAGTTATTAACAAAGAATTTATAAATATCTATAATTCAAAGAAATATTCAAGAATTAGAGGTACACAAAAAGGCGGAAAAACAACTTTTTTTAAGAGAATGTCAGCTCATTGAATAAATATTCATTCTTTGCAATGCAAATATTTGATACAAGTGATATAAATAGTAAGAGTACAAGGAATGTCGCCATTATTTACAACACATCGTCTGGCAGGAGTTTTACTGCTGTAAAACATTTCTATAAAGTTCTTTTCCTTTAAAAGATTTTATTTAAGAAGGTTTGTGAACATTCAAATGTGTGATGTTTGTACATAACTTTAAATTTTAGATAATTTGAAAGAGTTTTTTTAGACCGAAACGCATTAGGAGTTAATGATCTCCAAGCGGACATATTTTATTTTTGTAGGTGGGAAGTTAGGGGTTCGGTACGTTGCTGAATAATTCGGAATTCGGATGAAATAATAGCGATCCATTTTAATATATTACGGAAGCAGTTTGTATTTTAAAAATACATGAACTGAATCCAGCGACTTTAAACATATTCTTGATCGACCTACTGACGACGAAGAAGGAAAATTAAGGATCATCCTAGACACTAGTCGCAACGCTACTCGGAAACCGTTTCTTCAATCCAATTTGGAATAATGAGAGCTATATACCGTACAAGGCATACTAGTGGCTATTTTTCTTTCCGCGTTTAGGTTAGGTAATAGTCCTATTAAATCCCTTAAATGGGTTGGACAATGGAAAAAAAGAATGCCATTACTGTGACATCTGAAGAGGTTGGTTAACAAAGGCATTAAACTGGTATGTTATAGTTTAACCTGAAGAAATACGGCTGCGTATTATAATTGTAAAGATATAATATAATTAAAAACGATAAAATCTAAAACTAACTAGTAGCAATTAATACATAATGGATCTTAAGTCAGTACGTACTGTTTTTTTTTTTGTTTTTTTTCATAAATAGTTAAAATGAGGATATCTTAAAATTACATTATTCTTTACATATATTTTTTGTATCGATATTAAAATATCATTAGCGAAACCGATGATTAAAAAATGTCGACAAAGCTTCCTCACTATTTATCACGTAAACATGACAATATTTTCGGATTATATATTTATTTTTTAATACATTAGCAATTCTTTAATTATTTATTTGTTATTATTAATAATTAAAACGTAAATTATCTTTACAGGTTTCAGTTATAATTAATACAATTTTCAATTAATTTTGTTTTATGTAGCACAATTTAATTATTTCGCTCAAGTTATTAGTGATAAGTATTTTTAATAAAGAATATCATTAATTTGATAGGTTCTTAGTCATTTATTTAATATTGATCTACTGGTGTCCTTTTCATTTATTTTATTTTTTTATGTAGACGCTAATTAAACAGTTAAATAGAGCTATTTGATTTTTTCTATTTTTTATTTTCCAATTATATAATAAATTGATACTTTTTTTATAAGCAATTTATAATTATTTAATAGTTGTTATTAATTAAGTAAACACTCAAAACTTCAATTCAATGTTAATACTGTCCAGTTCTCTAATTTCAAAAGGTCAAAAATGTGGAGGCATCATATATCGAAATAACGATATATAATTTGGAAAAAAAATCGATACATATACAATACATTTGTGTACGTGCACAATATAGATTTCTTTCCATATATTTGTTAATATATCGATGTTAATGTATTGATATATTTTTTTTTATATTCACGTTCCTACTTCTTATTTATTTCTTTTTTATTTATTCACGATATTAACAACTGTATTAAAGAAATACATCTAGTAAATTTGTATCAATAATAATGATATGAAAACAAACACTTGTTGAGGAAGTTCACAACTAATAATATGTCTACATTAGGAGGTCACGTGAAGAAAAGCAAGGTTAGAAATGAGGGGCTGTGATGATTCTGAAATTTACTATGGAAGGGTAGGTATCCGGATTGGGCCAAATAGGAAACATATGGAACATTAAGGTCGTTATGGATTTTATTTGTAACAAAGTAAGGAGCATTGAGAATTTTACGACGGTTTTCTGATTGGATAGGAAAGAAATTTGATCGTTTAGTGGAGCCCCATAGCTCAACTCCGTAAGTCCAAATAGGCCTTATTATATTCATGTATATGAATCTTTTGTAATTAATTGGAAGTTTAGAGCGCTTGTCTAGTAAGTTCAGAAGTAGTAGTCAGAAACGTCGAGCGGTTTCTTGTTTCAATCTAGTATAAGGATTCCAACCTTAATGTTTGTCCAGGCGCAGGGCAATCTAAAATTAAATTTCAATTAAGTAAGCTCCTGTCTAGAAAATTTCAAGTAACGGAAACTTGAAATTTTTCTGATCAGTCGCCGGGACAATAATAGAAAGAAGCGAATATCGAAATTCCTGGATTCTAAAAATTCTAGATGTTTCTTCAGATTTGTTGCCTAGATATGAAAACCTAAAATGAGGCAATAACAGAAGATCCCAGTATATGATTCAAAACGAAATATCATGACCAAGACCTCAGGATACTCTAGAAAAGAAAGAGAACACCTAAATATAAATAAAAAATAGAAGTGAATTTGGCGAGATAAAATTTACCGCTCAAGACCTTGGGTTCGTAAGTAGAGAAACCTTCCCATTTATAATTTTTTTTTTTTTTTTGGAAAGTTTCATGTTAAAAAGTATCAGCTACAGAGCTTGGTGGAAAGTATTATTCTCGATTCACAGAGAATCCTTCTATCCTTCGATTTTTATTCTCGTTTTTTAATGCTACGAACTGAATCACTCAATAAGACTTCCTTTAGGAACCATTTCATAAGCGGAGGCCATAAAATAAAAATTTCACAATTAATTAAAATTAATGTGTCTTAAAGAATGTTAGGTTATGTATTAGTGTGAATAAATAATTTATAAATAACCGGAATGGTGACCAAGGAGCTGACCCACATATCGTAGGTGTGCCTTATGTAACTGAGTATACTCGTAAATCACAGTTACATAAAAGACCTATCGTCGGGTCTAGTGTTTGTTTTTCATTTATATGTTTATCAAGAAATATTATTTCCTTTTATAAGTTAACATAATAAGGATTATATAATATCGAGAGAGTGCAAAAAATAATGAATCAAAATAAGAGAAAAAATATTTTTGATAAGTTAGCTCTTCTTCAATAAGAGCTCAATGGTGTTTTAATTACAATTATCCCATTTTAAATGTTATTCTATAAAATGTAAACACACATATTTGCTATTTATAAATTCAATGGGACAGAGGGATCTAACTTACAACCATCATCCCTCCTAAAATCAAATATATTTCCTAAGCTAATTCATATTAAATAATACTTGAATTTTATTTCCTTCAACAAGTCTATAATTCAGTTTTTTATTAATTGGCTCAAATTAAGTATTCTCGTACGCTTTGTAATTCCCAAAAAGAAGCGAGTACCTCCCTCCAGATTCGCGCCTCCCGGAAATATTCCCCGTAAAACCTATATGTCTGTATATGAGCTATAAAACATAAT